ATATACACACACACACACACACACACATATATATACACGGTAACACATGCACATCAGTGTACTTTGTTCACAAAGTCCATTAAAAAGTGTGTGACAGTGATCCCACAGTATTAAGCCCCAAATCATTACTGTACAAAATGCCTCCTTTTCATCCTGTACTCATCCTCATTATTCATAACATGCCATTGATTTGCAGTCCAATAATAGCCTACTAATAATGCTTAAAATCAGTTATTTCTCTATGAGCTCTTTGTGAATCCAAAGAACAGAAATATAAACACCTTAGAAGCATTAAAGTGCTGCTGCATAAACCTCTCATCAGTCACAAGAATTTGATTTCCCCATGTGGGTCCTGATGATGTAGACACCACAACTGTCCAATCAACGAGTTACCTGTCAGTCATTAGAACCTTATGTTTACTCCTCTTGGTTCATTTGCAAAAAGTCTGTGTGAACAGGAACCAAACCAAAACTCAAAACACAACAAATGCTCAATTTCCCCCTGGTGCGACAAAATGAATCCAACTACAGGTGTGAAAGCCCCCTAAGATAGAGGACTCTGTCTTAAGGCTTAACGTACGTTGCTGACCCATGAATCTTACTTCATAGTATACACATCCATAGGTAACCAGTAATTGCGTAAAGTAAACCCACAATTAACTATGAGATGGACACATACCATTTATAATAATTAATGATTTCTCCGTATTTACCTTATAATATCCTGAGCAGCCTATAGCAGCCTATTGATTGTTCTCACTGTGTATGCTTTTGCTTTCAGAGAAAAAGAGTTGGCCAAAGTCACCATCAAGAAAGAGGACGTGGAACTAATTGTAAGTTTTACAGTAAATCAGCCTGGGGTGTTTTTGTCGTATTTGGTTCAGATGAACCAAATGTGTTCGTTGATGTTCTGACATAAAAATCGTAGCAAACTGGTTTCCATGATGATTTATTTGACATTTTGTCCACCCCATTGGTTTTCTACAGAAGCCTCATTGTCCGTTGGCAGAAATCTGCCACCAGAAACGGAAAGGGGGTTGTTTACGACAAGGTTGTAGTCGTTATAGTCTTTTAGCTCAGCGAAAGTGCCGGCTCGACAGTGCTGTGTGTGCTCCTGGAGGAAGAACGAGAATGAACGGAAAAGTTTTGTAATAAGTTAAACAGCTGCACAATGGATTACTCGCTTGTAAACAACCTTTGCAGTACAATGCCTTTGAACACAATGCCAATCTTCTTCTTCTGCCTCTGCTTCGTGTCCCATTACATTGCAATGGTTTCCTGCTGGTTGGCGACACCCACGTGAAGGACCATTATAGCCATCAAGTGGGCTGGAGTGTTTAACACTTAAAGGATAATTTAGGTATTTTTCAATCTGGGCCCTATTTCCCCATGTGTATGTGTGCGTATGATTCATAGGTACAACTCGTTTTAAAATTGGTGAAGTATTGAGGGAGGAGGATGCAGCCGGCAGCCGCGAGGTAGATATGTGGGTAAATGCGTCCCGTATAAGTTTGCGCATTAAAAGTGCTTTTTTCGCCACTGACGGTTCAGATCGCCAGTGCTATCTCTGTAAATAGCATACAAAGCATTTCCCTGACCCTTCACCTCCTCCCAGCTGTGATGTCATCTCGCGAGAACTTTGCTTGTTGCCGGTAAGAAAACAGAGGAGCCATGCTGAGTGCCGCTCAGAGTGCCGCTGGTTGTACCGGAGTACAGTTGAGAGTTTTAATGCATCGGTATCATGGCTGCATATTTACCCTATTTCGAGAATGAAGATGAGCCCTTTTATTACGATGGCCTCCCGTACGGACGAGGAGCTCCTACAAATTGAAGAGCAGACGAGTATAGACCGAGAGGGCCAACGAGCAGACAAGGGTGAAGCAGCGGCTACACAAACGCGAATCTCTGAGGACTGGTGGTGCTCCTTGCTGTGACTCACAGCACAGAGGAAGAATGTCTGTGTTGCAACGAGTGGGACCTGCTGCCCAATATTCATGGTCTCGATGTGTCCTGGGATGATACATAAACTACCAAACGCTGTGTAACTACGTTAGAGGATTTCCCCCCTCTGATCAACAGGACAGTGCTGAATACCTTTTTTCATGTGCCCAAAATAAATTGGAGGAGGCGGCCAAAACCACAGGGACCAAATGGTCAACTATCCATCAAGTACCATAAAACTTGGTGTATAAGTCGCACTTTTTTTCCCTCTTTTTTTCATCTAAAAAGTTGGGTGCGGGTTATAGACCGGTGCGACCTATAGACCAAGGTAAATGCTGACATAGGTAATTTGACCCACAAGATGGTGCTACGTTAGGCTGACCAAACGTCCTCTTTTGCCCGGACATGTCCCCTTTTCACGTCCCGTCCGGGGCGTCCGGGGGTCTTTTATAAACTGATGATAATGTCCGGTTTTCTGTGTGTTTGTGTGTGTGTGTGTTAGAGTGCGGCACAGGCAGCATATTTCTGCCCGAACCGAGCCCGACATTATTAAATGACCAAAGCACTGAGTTTGTGTCACACAGTGGTTACAGGCTATTTAACAGGCTGGGCGTGCGCCGTGGGTGCTCAGCTGCGGAGAGGGAGACCTCCATGTTTGAGACGGGAGCGGGAGGCGGGAGGTCCGACGCTTATAGCGAGAGGAGAAGGAGAAATAAAACAAAATAAGATAAAATAGGAAAAACTTGTCTCCCTCTTTTATTTTATTTTTAGCGTTTAATCAAGGCGGAGACGGGCGGCTGGAGGTCCGAGACTTTATACCGTAATTTTATTTCATGAAGAGGTTGTTTGGAAAATTGCAATCTGAAAAGTAACCAAAGCTGCTTAAGAGGTTATTGTGTTTTGAATGTGTTTCAAATTAAAAATAAAGGGAAACAGTGTAGGAATAACTTGTATAACGTTTTTATTAACAAACAGTAATATAAAACCTTGTTTTCCCTGTTTGAGACCTTAAAAAATAGACTGCGACTTATATGCCAGTGCGACTTATATTCCGAGTTTTAGGGTAAGTATAACTAATGTCTTTATGCATGTAATACTGATACCTAGAATTGTCTCCGAGACGCACATTTACGGTTGCATACTTTGCCCTCGTATATATCGTACCGTTTTCTTCCGGCAACAAGCAAAGCTCTCGCGAGATGATGTCACAGCCGGGAGGAGGTGAAGGGTCAGGGAAACGCTTAGTATGCTATTTACAGAGATAGCACTGGCGATCTGAACCGTCAGTGGCGAAAAAAGCACTTTTAATGCGCAAACTTATACGGGACGCATTTGCCCCCATATCTACCTCGCGGCTGCCAGCTGCATCCGTCTCCCTCAATACTGAACCAATTTTAAAAAAAGTTGTACCTATGAATCATATACACACATACACATGGGGAAATAGAGCCCAGGTTGAAAAATACCAAAGTTATCCTTTAAGGGTCAAACAATCAAGCGGAAGTTTACACATGGGTGTGAGGCAGCCGAAAAAATAGTTCCACAATTGAGATGAATAGCGAAAACACAGATGGAAACCACAGTTTGCTACGATTTTTATGTCAGAACATCAACGAACACCACTGACCATTCGGTGAGCTCATGGCTTTGAAAACGAACGTTTAGGGTGGTTTTAGGACAGCTTCACACATGACCATAGGCAGCAGTGTTAAGCCAGGCAGGGGAGAGCCAAATTCTTAGAAAATGAGCATTCATCAGTATTTTGATCTTAGCCATTCTATTTCATCATAAACAACCCAGAAACGGGGCTCAAAGTGCAAAAGACCAGACTTCTTCTTTAAATTTCTAATCTAGTGAAGTTGAACTGCATTTTTATAACCAACTAAATACTTGAGGCTTAGTGTTGTAGTTGAAGCTATAATCTGATTCTCTAACAGCACATGTGGTTCATACTGTGATGTTGTTGCTGTGCAGATGTCAGAGATGGAGATTTCAAGGGCCGTGGCAGAGCGCAGTCTAAGGGAACACATGGGGAACGTGGTGGAGGCTCTGGTGACACTGACCAATTGAACAAAGAGCATTTACACAATGGACTGCTTTAATTGCTTTTTGAAATACCAGAGTTCATCAAGACAGAAAGGCTGAACTGATAACTCAGTGGTTAAACTGTTGTGATGTACTCTTTACCCCAAACCCTCTTCCCCCATGTTAAAATAAATGTTGACCTGCTTCCCTCTGTGTTTGTGATTAAAGCAATTATAAAACTTGTTTTTCTCTCAGTGAAAGATTTTAAAATGACAAAAATACAACTTTTATTCATCACAAAGTCACAATACCTGTACTATTACAAAAAAGGTAATGCAGGAAATCAGTCTACTAAATGTTGTAACTAGCTGATTTCTAAAAAAAATACAACAGACTGCTTTAAAAAGACAATGTATGACAATATGCAGCATTCCTCAAATACTGTAGGAAATTTATGCTACATTGTATTTTTACAGCCAAGATCCCATGTTGAAGGGATATTTTATGTATTGACAAATTTAAAAATCATCTGCATTTTAGGTAACTTTAAGAAGCCAACATTAAATGAAGGATCATCAAAGTGGTGGAATCAGTTTGTACTTGCTCCTTTCCCTCCACAACCTAAAGTCAGGAAAGACTCAGTAGGATGCAGCTCTGTCTCTGAGCAGTCTCTAAAGCTGCGGCATGTCTGGTGAAGCCCATTCCACACATCTTAAGTCTTCCTCTTCTTCACTGTGGGTCGGTCAAACACGTCCCTGACACCTGCTGCCTTCTGCTTGAAGAACTTGCTGTTCTGAGCACTCTCCTGGGCCCAGGCTGAGTCAAACGACGTGGTGTCCTGGTCCACCAGATGGGTATACTTGGTGCGTCCAGACCGACCAAAGTTTTTGACCTTACAGGGTAAAATGAACCGTAACGGGTCAAATCAGAGAATTTAATAACTAAACCTTTATTGAGGGTAAACTGCATATCCAGTTGGAAAAATTCCACCAAACAGCATTCAAGTATGAACAGCAAAAGTTGCATCCATTTTCTTGGATTCAAGTGTTTTACTCAAAAATCTTACTATGGCCTCATTTAAACATTGAATTAAGAAGGTACAATATATGTACAGTACAGGCCAAAAGTTTGGACACACCTTCTCATTCAATGCGTTTTCTTTATTTTCATGACTATTTACATTGTAGATTCTCACTGAAGGCATCAAAACTACGAATGAACACATGTGGAGTTATGTACTTAACAAAAAAAGGTGAAATAACTGAAAACATGTTTTATATTCTAGTTTCTTCAAAATAGCCACCCTTTGCTCTGATTACTGCTTTGCACACTCTTGGCATTCTCTCGATGAGCTTCAAGAGGTAGTCTGGAATGGTTTCCACTTCACAGGTGTGCCTTATCAGGGTTAATTAGTGGAATTTCTTGCTTTATCAATGGGGTTGGGACCATCAGTTGTGTTGTGCAGAAGTCAGGTTAATACACAGCCGACAGCCCTATTGGACAACTGTTAAAATTCATATTATGGCAAGAACCAATCAGCTAACTAAAGAAAAACGAGTGGCCATCATTACTTTAAGAAATGAAGGTCAGTCAGTCCGGAAAATTGCAAAAACTTTAAATGTGTCCCCAAGTGGAGTCGCAAAAACCATCAAGCGCTACAACGAAACTGGCACACATGAGGACCGACCCAGGAAAGGAAGACCAAGAGTCACCTCTGCTTCTGAGGATAAGTTCATCCGAGTCACCTGCCTCAGAAATCGCAAGTTAACAGCAGCTCAGATCAGAGACCAGATGAATGCCACACAGAGTTCTAGCAGCAGACCCATCTCTAGAACAACTGGTAAGAGGAGACTGCGCGAATCAGGCCTTCATGGTCAAATAGCTGCTAGGAAACCACTGCTAAGGAGAGGCAACAAGCAGAAGAGATTTGTTTGGGCCAAGAAACACAAGGAATGGACATTAGACCAGTGGAAATTTGTGCTTTGGTCTGATGAGTCCAAATTTGAGATCTTTGGTTCCAACCGCCGTGTCTTTGTGAGACGCAGAAAAGGTGAACGGATGGATTCCACATGCCTGGTTCCCACTGTGAAGCATGGAGGAGGAGGTGTGATGGTGTGGGGGTGTTTTGCTGGTGACACTGTTGGGGATTTATTCAAAATTGAAGGCACACTGAACCAGCATGGCTACCACAGCATCCTGCAGCAACATGCCATCCCATCCAATTTGCGTTTAGTTGGACGATCATTTATTTTTCAACAGGACAATGACCCCAAACACACCTCCAGGCTGTGTAAGGGCTATTTGACCAAGAAGGAGAGTGATGGAGTGCTGCGGCAGATGACCTGGCCTCCACAGTCACCGGACCTGAACCCAATCGAGATGGTTTGGGGTGAGCTGGACCACAGAGTGAAGGCAAAGGGGCCAACAAGTGCTAAACACCTCTGGGAACTCCTTCAAGACTGTTGGAAAACCATTTCAGGTGACTACCTCTTGAAGCTCATGGAGAGAATGCCAAGAGTGTGCAAAGCAGTAATCAGAGCAAAGGGTGGCTATTTTGAAGAACCTAGAATATAAAACATGTTTTCAGTTATTTCACCTTTTTTTGTTAAGTACATAACTCCACATGTGTTCATTCATAGTTTTGATGCCTTCAGTGAGAATCTACAATGTAAATAGTCATGAAAATAAAGAAAACGCATTGAATGAGAAGGTGTGTCCAAACTTTTGGCCTGTACTGTACATGCATCTGGTATTTAATTTGTAAATATCTTTTCCCCCTTTTTTCAGAATTCAAACACACTGAAAGGTTCTGTATGTAACTTTGAGGAAAATCCTTGTTTAGTGACCCCTTTCGCTGAGGCTGTAAGTCAACTGAAGTCACTCTGCATCCTCCATAGCCATGAGGGAGCACCTGCATCGGCCACAACAGTGACTAACAAGAGACTGACCGGCATCATGTTGATAGAATACTGGAATATAAATTAGAATCATATTTAGCGTAACATTACTATCTGTATGTTCCTGTATTTCATTTGGACCATTGACTCCTTGACACTAACAAGCTTACCATTTGCAAACTACATCATCAGCTGACATTACAAAGCAACTAATGGCAGACCCATGCAGTGTAGCTTTACAGTTAGCTGGCTAACCTTAGCTTACGGTCATTGGCTGCTCAGCTAGCCGTGACTTAGCCACACTGCACAGATCTAGCTTGGTTGCTTCTAAGCTAATAAAGCAATTTGTAGACCAGCTCCCGGAGGCTGAATGAAATAGCTGACGTTATCCACTCAATACAGTATTTTGCCACATTTGCTAGCTAGCATTTCATCTGTCTGACAAAGCAAGCCATGTGATGAATTGATCGCAGGTGAATGATTTAGCTATGATAAGTCTGTGTAACAGTGTAGGCTACAACAGTGTGTGTAACACATGTAACATGAGTAGAAGCTGCTAACCTGCATGACTTTGGGTAAGATGGTTTTGTTGAAGTGATCCTCCAGAGTAGGTGCGCTGAAATCTCTCTTGTAGACCTCCTCCTCCTCATCCTGTAACAGAAATCATGTCTACAGTCACAGACTGCTAATGATCCTACCCTTGTCTGCTGCTGATGCACACAGTGGGCGGCTGTGGCTCAGAAGGTAGAGTTGGTCATCCACTAATCAGAAGATCAGTGGTTTGACCCGGCTCCTCCAAACCGCATGCAGAAGCATCCTTGAGCAAGATACCGCACCCCAGATTGCTCCTGACGGCTGTTCCGACGGCATGTAAGTGTGTTAAAAACCGAGTTGCAGGTGGTACCTTGTATGGTAGCCTTTGCCACCAGTATATGAATGTGTGTGTCAATGGGTGAATGTAATTAGTAGTGTAAAAGCGCTTTGAGTGGTCAGAAGGCCAGGCATGGGCTATACAAATGCAGGTCCATTAAGCATTTAACATCAAATGATCATGCTCATTTCTACAGTGACGGACCGCTGAGGAACCTGCACCTGTCAGCAGCTAATGATTCACTGTAACACTACATCTGATGACTTTGTGAGCTTCTTTGTTGGGTAAAAACAACTGGCTGAAACAGATGGAGCCAGACATTTCACAGTTGTCTGCTCCCGGGTGGAGAATCTACACAACAGAGACTGTTTCTACATTTCAAACTTATATGGAGCATTTCTGTACTACAAACACATACACAGTATTTGTTATCATGCCATTTTAGTTATATGTAACTGAAAACAGAATTCAGATCATATTACAAGCAATATTAGAAGGGACTATGGTATATCAATGTAATATGCTTTTGCACAAAATTGGCAGAAAGTTCAGTCATCACAAAAGCAGCCCTACGCTTCTCTTCAAAGTCTCCATAGTGTTTGAAAGACGAGACTGACTAAACATCTTTAACTGTAAACTACAGTCACCCTGATGTTTCATGTGGACCTGATGAATCTGACAAAGCTACGGTCAGACCAAACTGCAGTCATGAATTAACTATTCACCTCTGTACTGACTTACCATGAAGAAGGCTCCTCTGTGGTAGTACTTCTGGAGGAACTTGTATTTGCCTTTGCTGGCTTTGTTGGTGACTTGTTTACCGCTGTTTCTGAGCTCAGCCCGACGCTCCTCCTCTGTCATGTTATGGAATCTCTCGATTTCAGCCTTCTCCTTCTCCATGCTGGGGACAGAACACCACACATTCAGTTCTAAATCCGTCAAGTTCATTTTTCGTGACATCAAGTCATTTCAGGGAGTCGTATCTGTTCACTCACACTTCTCGGGCCTCTCTGTCCCTCTTAATGCGTTTCAACTCTCTGACTTTCCAGGCTTCGTATTCCTCCTCCTCATTCTCTCCATCAGTGTCCAAAGCATCCAGAGCTGCCAATGTGCGCCGGTTCTCCTCAAACTCCTTCTTAGCCTCCTCCTCCACAATCTTGAGGGTGTAGCGCCGTCGCTCCTCTGCCTGCCTCTTGGCCTCAGCTTCCAGCTCTCTTTGCCTCTGCTCCTCTGCTTCACGCTCTGCCACTGTGACTCTGTCCTTTCTGTGGTGCACACAGAAAAAAAGGAATACAGGTTAAACATACCATGAAGTGACCATTTTTCTGTCAGTCAAATCAGATTCAGCCACTTAATACAATATTCAATGATTTGTTTTTATTTCCACATAAAGTTTTAAATGGGGCTCAGTGGGTTCAGTGTGAAAGCAGCACTCATGTATTAAAGCAAACAAGCTAAATACGTTAACAATAGGGTTGGGTATCGTTTGGGTTTTTTCCGATACCGGTGCCCTTAAACAGTGCCTGAACCATGTTTTTATTTATTTATTGCTGAGGAAAATTAGAAATACCTATAAATAAATAGGTATATGAACTCTATTAACAGTTTTAAAATATAATAAGAAACACTTAACAAATTAACATTACAATAATATTAACTTTATTAAAGTCCAGTCTCTGTAGGCAGCCCAGGCTCCGCAAATGGCAACAACAATATTTGGGTCCAGGCTATATCAACCAGCCAGCGCGAGACCAGCGAAAGTAAGCACACACACATGAAGCCCACGGCTAAAAACAGAATTCAAATGACGATTTTCCAAACAACTTTTTATGTCGGGGCTTCACTTGGATCACTACGGACGAGCAGTATGGAGATATTTTGTGGTTTCAATTATGTGTTTTTTGGATGTTTGAATCTGGGGGGCTGTAATCCTCCATTAGAGGGGTATTCCAGGTAGGAGGTTCAACAAATTCTGAATCTAACCCTGAACTCTGAGTTGATTTAACCTAAGATGGGAAACTCTGAGTTACCGGTTCCAGAACAGCTGATCTGAGTTAGTTCAGTCAACTCTGATTATGTTCACTCTGAGTTAAGCCGACAATAAAAAGCCATCATCAATGGAGCTCCGACTCCACGATTCACCATGGCAACAGGTAAATAAGACAGTGCCTCCATTTTAATCCAGTGGATGCAGAGATATCAATGCACGTGTAGCAGACAGTGCACGTTTAAAGAAGAGCCTGAGTCAGAGCGAGGAAAGTGTAAATAAGTTAACCATAAAGTTAATAAAGTTTTATTCAGTGTTGTCCGTTTATCCATCATTTATCAGACTTACATAATTCTTAATGAAGATAAAGTGGTGGAATCTGACTGTGTATCAGGCTGTAGATACATTAGGCTACATTATATTAATTATATACAATAATATATTTGTTCAGATTTAATCTGATGGGGAAAAACACAGGAGGCAGCAACTGAAAAATAGGAAGATTTAAAACATACAGGCTAGGCTATAGATCAAAGACATAAAGACATGACTGTAAACTCACAGTCTGACCCAGTAATAATATGTTTGGTGATTTGCACTTGAAAAGACGTTGAGGTTAAAATACAGTAGATTTTAAAATGTTGGACATCTATTTGTATCTTGACTCAACAGCATTCAGTGACTTTATTTTAGCTACAAATGTAGTAAATTTAAAGACACTGAAATGCTGCACCATTGCTCACTCAGAAATATGAACATGTAATCCCCAATATTAGGCTATAGGAATTATGTTCCATCAGTGCGACCAGTGACATTAGTGATAGAGATCATTAGTCATTGATACTATGTGTCTAAAGCTTCATACCGATTTTTAAAATTTAAATAATTAGACCTACACATTATGTGCAATAAACATTTTGGAGCTGCTCTAACAGACTAACTGACAGTCTGATCCTTGTGCAAAGTGTTATAAAAATAATACATATAAAAAGGACAGAGGTTTGATTCTGAGCTGAGGGTGAATTCTCGCTGTGTAATATTTGAATGTAAAGACAAAAACTGATGTCCAAAGAAGTGATTGATGTGCATAAATTCAGTAACTTAAGACAGTCCTGAGTAACAAACTAATATCCAGCAGGATTTAGACTGTGAGAGACGGTAAATCTCCACTAATTAATGTGCTTCGATACAAGCTTTGACATGGACTGAATAAATGAAGAAATGAAACAGCATGTAAGAGGGAGGAGACAGAGAAAAACTCAGGGTTTATTGAAGAAAACCTGTCATCGAGCAGGTTATGTTCACAGAGTCTGTTACCATGGTGACTGACTCAGAGTTTCAGTTACCTCTCTTTCTGGAACGGATAACTCAGAGTTTCCCTCATCTCAGGGTTAACTTACTCTGAGTTTTCACATAACCCACTTTCTGGAATACCCCCTAGGTGTTGTGTTGCTACCTCCTCTCCCCTTGGATCTCCTCAAGTGTTGTGAGGACTCTAAAACTTCACCTGAGCCTCCATCAGTATATGGGTGAGTAGATAATGGGTGCATTTTCATGTTCATGCTTCATGTATCCCTTGAACAGGTGTGTAAATCCTGGGTAACTAGCAGCCATTGCTTGTTTATGACAGAGTCACTGAGGCCGAGGGGCAAGCTAGCTCCGTTGTGTTTGATATCACTGTTGAATGTAAACAGAAGTGACGCTCAATGGTGCTTAGTGTGCCTTAAATAATAATATACACTCAGTAAGTGAACACATGAATGAATGAATGATTCTGTTACGTGTAACGTCCAATAGAGGGAGACATAGCATTAAAAAAAAGCACCAAAAGGAGGCCATGTAATGTGCATTTTGTTTCGGTCCGGTAGGTATCGGTTGTATAGGTACCGGTTCCATACACTAGATATCAAACGGAAACCACAGACTGTGTGGTATTAAGTATCAGTAAGCTGTAAATTCACCACTTCCAGGCAGAAGAGAAAACATTATGTTATCTCAGAGCCTTACAGTGGAACATTTCTCCTCCTCTGTGCTGCTGCATCATGTCCCCAGCTGACTGTACTAAAGAAATCCGTGTACCCTTTGTTCTTTTGTTTTTCCGTTTCAAAACCAAATCAGAAAAACAATCTCATTTTTCTGTTTATCTGATTTAAAACCAGAACAGAAAAACGGGAAAAAGATCTGCGGAGGAACTTTTGAGCTTCACAGAGGAGCGCTCCATTCTCAGCTACTTGTAGCCTAGTTATGGCTGCACTCCAGCCTTATGCAGACCTTACCTGTGAACTTTTTGAGAGTGGCAAGACACACGCAGAAATCAGTGACATTTTGCAGCGTTAAGGGGCCACGCAGTGTTCTATAATGAGCGTCAGGAGATTCTGCATGGACCACAACCTTTGTCAGAGAAGTGTTGTTTCAGAAGCCAAATTGAAAATGGCTGTGGTTTCTGCAATAACGGTGTGTGTGTGTGTGTGTGTCCGTCCATCCTTATAATACGGGATCATCCCTTACCTACTAAATCAATACGGGACACAGTTGGTGAGAGTAATTGATGCTGACTAGGTGTGTGCGATATCTAGGGCTGTAGTCAACCAAAGAATATCCTGGTCGACTGAAGTCGTACATAATCTTTAACTAATCCATTGGTCGTGAGGAAAAAATAATCTGCATGTTATTATATCTAGATTGACTAAATCAGCCACAGTGCGCTTGTTGCACTCTACCTGGTAGCCTTATTAGCCTGAATGAATTACAAATAAATATAAAAAGCTAGTATTTGCAGTATATTACATAATTTTTAACTTAATCATTTTATACTTAAATGATAACAACAGACAATTATTGAGGAATACACAAAAATAAATTTAAGATAAATGTTTTTGTTTTACTTTATTAAAATAAACAGGACCCTCCACTATTGTTCCAGCCCGCATTGTGTGATATCGGAACATAGAGCTGCGCAGGTGTGATCTGATCTCAAAAAGACAGTTGCGCCTGCAGTTATAAAACCATTATTTGACCAAACATTTTGAAATATGCCAGTGCTGATTGTGTTCACACTCAAAGCTCACGGAGCATCCTAACGCAGACAAGTTTGCCTACCATTTTTAGATGATACGCCATGTTGGATATTGAGCTGTGATATGTAAACTCCTGTTTGCAAAGTTTACACGACTTTTTTTGGTCATCTGTTTTAATAAAATGTAGCCATACCGAGGACTTCTTTGACATGGTCTAGCCAGCTCCAATTACACGTTCAGTAACACTCAGTCAACATGCAGTAATCAACCAGTCGACCAGGAGACTACAGCCCTAACGATATCATATCATTAACAGTAATACCTGCATAATTTTCAATGATAAAAAATGTATATAATGATAATGACAACATTTTGTTAAACCTAGTTCAGACCAGTGATTCCCACCAAGACAAAACCATTTTAGAACGTTGAAGAAAAGTTGCAGTGGTGTGAACTGGGTGGTCTGAGCTCGACTCAAGCCGGCTGAAGGTGACACCTGCAACTCACTTGTTTCTACAGCCAATTGGCTTGTAGTGAAGATCGCAGATAACGTGTTCCGCTGTCTGGTGTCGGAGGGTGAGTCACTTCTGCTCTCGGTATGCTCTCTTACACATAATAAAGTTCATTTTGTTCTCTGAATTTTCTACACTTTGGTCAAACTGCTCCCCTCTTTTTTTTTAGATCATTTTTGGGGTATTTTGCCCTCACTCAATATTGAAAGCTGAAGGGAGACTGGAAAAGGATAGTGAGGGGGATTACATTCAGCAAAAGGCCCAGGCTAGACTCGAACCGAGGCCACTGCAATTAGATCCGAGCCTCAATGGTATGCACTCTACTAGATAAACCACCAGGCACCCCAAATGCTTCTAAATGTTGTGCATACTGAGGCCATTAAACTTTGATTGGGGAGTGGGGGGTTAAAAGCCAGAAATGTGAGGAACCACTAAGCTACAGTTGTAAGGTAAGGAAACTGTTGCTTGAGTTCATACTTGCGAATGAAGACAGGTTTGAGCCGGGGCTCTGCTTCATCCTCGCTGTCTGTGTATTCTTCATATTCAGACTCTGACTCTGACTCCTCCCCTGACTTCCCTTCCTCCTCCAGCTCCATCACCTCCATCTCCTCATTCTTTCGTTCAGTGGCTCTCTGCCTCATCATTGCTCGTCTCCTCTCAATTTCCTGCACAGAAAGAGAAAGTCCGCCTTAAAAACTTTTCTTAATATAGCTTGGAAGGAAAAAAGAGAAACACTGTCATAACTTCTTCAGTGACTGGGAAAAGCCCAGATCACTGAGGTCAGATTAAACAGCATAGACAGTAACCTCATCATCCACTTCTTCCTCTTCCTCCTCCTCTTCCTCACTACTCTCCTCACGCTCTGGGTGCCATGTGCCTTCATCCGAGTCCTCGCTGCTCTCAGCCATAACCTCAGGCTCTGCAATCTGTCTGTGTCGTGCGAGCCTGAAGACAAGATAACAGGAAGCAACGGGGGCAAATTAACACTCTAGCACCACAAACTTAAATGATCATATCAGTCAACTCAAATCAAATAATGTGAAACCTCTCCTCCACGTCCTCAGACACACGGTTGAGCAAACGTTTGAGACGTGGATCAGAGACCTCCTCTTCTTCCATCTCGAGCTCTGCCTCCATTTCCTTTCCCTTCTTCACAAACTGGAAGTCTTCTTCTTCCTCATCAGAAGACTCCATTGGTGCGTAGTCAGGACGTTTACCTGACACATACCTCTTCACCTTCACCTTCTCCATGGAGAGCTCACCTGGAATATGCAGAGACAATGATGAGCTTAGTCAATCTAGGCTTTCACATCAGTGATGCTGAAGGTGTAGATGCTTGCTTGAATCCAGCTTTTATTACAATACTTTAACTATAAGTTAATTATTTAACAGCTTCCCAAAAGTTTAGAACTTATTTTTGCTAAGACTGAGACACAATGATGACAATTCAGTACTATTCACCTTGTTTTTTTTTATTTTTGGAATGCATTAGTTATGTTTTTAAAGCTGATGCTAAAATCCAACAGAATCAACAAAATGCCCCCAAAAACTGACAGTTCCAGTTCCAGCTTCTAAATATGAGGATTTGCAGTCTTTCTCTGTTTTACATTACTGTTCATTTGTCTTGTTCATATCTCTGGATTTTGAACGGTTGGTTCTTCAAAGCAAGCAATTAAGTGATGTTGCCTTGGCTTCCAGGAAAGTTACCGGTATTTGTGAAAAATAAATAAATATAATAATAAATAAAAATAAGCCCTAAAAATCCAATATTTTTCTGCCCATACCAGCTCATGATGACATGGGTTTTGTTGAGAGTCTTGGTACAAATTTGCTCAAACCCATAAGTAGGGTTTAAGCTCTAATATTGTAGATAAGCAAATGTAAATGGTATGATGACCATCAAGTTTTACATCACGGTATACCTTGAAGCCAGTATACCCATGGCACTGGATTATGATGATTTGCATTTAAGTACAGGTGTTTTTAGCGCTTGATGTTATTTACTCATCTACCTTTTTTTGTTTTGTTATTATGTTTGGTGTATAATGTTGATTTGTTTATGTACTATGTTGTATTTTTATGGCTGCAGTTTAGGTGAAGACCCCAAGACAAACTGCAAGTTTTTTGTGAATCTTAGTATTTAGATCCATCTCTTCAATAATAGTACTAATACTACACTATAGTATGTGTTTGAACTAAAATTCTGCATTGAAAATTTTAGGAGAATTTTCTCAACACAAAGGAAGTTTATCACAAACATTTACGATCATCATATCTGGAGATACACGATTTTTACTGCACAGGAAAAAGATTAAAAACTTTAGTAAGAAAAGCTGTCGGGCATGTGGTGCAGTAAAAGTACAATATTCACCTCTGAGCTGTAGTGGAGTATGAATAGTATGAAGTAGCATGGTAAAATGGAAATACAGAGGTAAACTGCAACTACGTTGACTTTATACTTGAGTAAAAAAAAAGCACTGAAGGCTTTTCAAGTTGTTGCTGAATCACTTTACAGGTATCCTGCATCGTACTTTAATTTTATTGATTAACTTGTAACACTCTGTGGTCACTTTTGAGGCCGTAATAAGTATTGATTAACTGGATTATATGTGATTATGTGATTACTGGAATAATGAAATTTTGCTCCGCTAGACTCCACTATATAGTCACACGTATGTTGGCACCCAGACATCACAAGCATGTGTGTGCTGAGCATCTCATTCTGAAATCACTGGTATTGATATACTGCTGCAGCCTGTAGGAATATGCCAATTTGGTCCCACTTATGTTAGTAACGTTAGTTAATTCTTTATTTAGTCAGCATAAAGTGGTGACTAATTTCAGACCGACCTAGCGTTATTTGTGTCAACAGTGAGGTTACGTTAAGATAGCTGGCTAACTTAGCACGCCGCTAGCCCCCTGCTTGCTAACCGCGAAAGCGTCTCACCTTTCTCGTTCCGGACCGGCACGGCTCCGGCCGTGGACTGGATCGGAGGGAGCTTCATGTTGAGGGCTTCACGACTAGACATCTCTGCCTGGTCGATAGTTTTAACTAAATCAAATTTCAAATGAGTAGCTTAACGTTACTCAGACAAACTCAGCCTGTCATTGTCTCGATCAAACGGAAGTGAATTTGCTAAAGAACGAGGGGACCGGAAGTGGGAGGGACCTGGGAGCTAAATTTTTTATAAAAGGTTTATAGATGTCAAATCAATCATCAAAACATGTTAGCCAGAAAATGGTCACGGAACTGAGGTTCTGGACCCTACTATAATGTATTTGTCTGATTTGAAGGTTTATTCGGTGAACAGAAAACATGTTGTGTGACTGATGGTGAAGTTTAGTTGTCAGAGACTAAATACATTCATCATAAACTATAGGCTACAGAGTCTACTGTATATTAACACTGGAGTTTTTTAAATTATTGAAGTATTTAGCAACACAGAGACTTGTGGTCAGTGGGATGTGAGGATTCTTAACATCTGTACAGATGTGAAGCCCTGACTGTATCTGACTGAGCCTTAATGAAAGCTGTTGTCTAGTATTTTTTTTTCCCTCTGAAAATATGAAACGAAGAACAAACAACTCGCACACCACAGGGCTCCAATGCTGAAATGTTTATTATACAACAGTTAGTTCCGGCCCTGCAATCTGATTGGCCGAGAGACAGTAAAACCGTGACGATATTGGAGTACAACCAGAGATATTGGATGAAGCGAGATGCCCAACTCAGCTCATTTCCTGATTCAGTGACGTCAGCGCCACAGATGAAGCGAAAGTTAACTTTGTTTGAGCAGGCCTCAATCTGGAATTTCATTCCTCAGTACATCTTCTCTCGCTTTGGTGGTTTAAACTTTATTTTCAGCTGTAATTATAATGTAGACAAACTCCCTGTAAAATTGTCAGCTTTTCATAGGCAAGTTCTCCTATCCTGGTCCCTAATTTACAAACATAACTTCTCACCTCACAGGTACTTAATATGGAATAACAGAGACATTCTTTTCAAGAATAAATCACTTTTTATGGAAAGATGGGTTCAGAACAAAATTCTTCTGGTAAGTCAGCTGTTTAATGAAGAGGGACTTTTGCTTTCCTATAGAGAATTTTTATCTAAATATGATTTTCCTGTTACTCCTAAGGAATTTGCTATAGTGTTTGATGCTATCCCCTCAGGTACTCTAATACTTTTTAGAAATCTTCCTAACCCTCTCCCCTCAGTCTCCGTACCTAATCCATTTGATTCTCATATAGGAAAAATCTGTTTTTCGACCCTTTCTCGTAATAACAATAGACATATACGTGCTTTATTCCAGAAAGATGTTGTCTCTGTTCCACATGTTATCTCATATTGGAATCGTTTTGTGAATGATATTGATTGGAACAAGGTTTGGATGATTCCAGACAAGTATCTCATCAGCAATAAGGTGAAGGAAGTTTCCTTCAGAATTATTCATAAATACTATCCTGCAAACCATTACATGGCAAAATTCAAAAGGGACATAAATGCAGACTGTTCTTCCTGTGAGGACCACCCAGAGACTTTGTTGCACCTATTTTGGCATTGCCCTCATACAAAAAAACTTTGGAAAGANGTCCTGTATTGTAAATGTAACAGAAGTAAAAGTAGGTAAGTATCATCAAGAACATGTAATTAAAGTATTAAGAGTAGAAGTACCTCATCCAGAAAAAAAACAAAACTCAAAATGTCTCAAAATAAATAAGAAAACGACTATGATGTTCATCAAAAATAGTCGCCAATTAATTTTCTGTCAATCTGCTGACTGATTAATTGACTAATTGTTTAATCTGTACATATACAAACAGTTAAAACACTTAAAAGCTAAACTATGTAACTTTTTTAGAGTCTTACAAATAAAAAGTTTAATTCATGAACAATAAAACACTTGCTTAAAGGTCTAGTGTGCAGGATTCAGTGGCATCTTGTGGTGAAATTACAGATTACAACTAACTGCAACTTTGCCCGTGTGCCAAGCATGTAGGAGAGCTATGGTGGCCACTGCAAAAACTCAAATAGTCCTATCTAGAGTAAGTGTTTGGTTTGTCTGTTCTGGGCTACTGTAGAAACAACATAGTGGACTCATGTGGAAAAGGACCTGCTGTGTATGTAGATATAAAGGGCTCATTTTAAGGTGATGAAAACACAACTCTTAGTTTTAGGTGATTATACACAAATGAAAACATAGTCATGAATATCATATTCCATTTCTGCCAACAGATGCCCCTAAATGCTCACACTGGACCTTTAATTTAGTACACTCCTGCTACAGCTTTACTTAGTCTGGTACGACCAGCAGCTTATTATAAAGCTAATGTTAACAATGTCAGCAAATTTCAGCTAGATATTGCTGTATAACAGACATTACTGAGTCAGTGTACTGACTTATTGACTCCTCCATACCTGTTCTACTGTTATGCTACAGTATCACAGGAACCATTATCCTGTAATTGTCACTGTTGGCCACAGTAGCTGTTGAACAGCAGAAGTCAAATGCTCATTTTAATTCTAGCTTCCAAAACATAGCATCACACACCAGAGATGGGGACACTTCTTTGCAGTGCACTTCCTTTGCGGCGTTTGTGAATCTTATTTGATTAGGACTTAAAGTGATCCATGTTTAAGTTTTGTTATCAAAATCATTGATACAATACTTAAAAAATAAGATAAGATAAAAACAGATGTTGACAACTTGGCTTCATTGGATATCTAACTGAAGACCAATATATGCTTCTACTGTGTTGGCAGTTTTTACTTTTTCAGTATTTAGCATTTAAAAGCAGTAGTAAAAAACTCACCTAATAAATAGAATATGACACATAATAAGTCAGAGTTGGCCTGCTGGTGCAGTGCTAATGATGGTTAGTACCGCTGCTTCACAGCAAGAGGGTTCAGGGTTCAAACCCACCCACCTCTCAGCTGGGGCCCTTCTGTGTGGAGTTTGCACATTCTAACCGTGCTAGCGAAGGCTTTCCCCAGGTTCTCTGGCCTCCTCCCGCAGTCAAAAGACATGTTAGGTCAATTGTTGACTCTAAATTGCCTGTAGGTGTGGATGGTCTGGCTACAGTGCCTCCCACCCAGTGTCAGTGACCCCCTAAGAGATTACAGATATACAGATACAGATAATGGATGGATGGGACACAATAATTTACCATATTGTCACTGTGTGCAGTGATAAAGACACTGTTTATCGAAATACACATAACTCCTCCATTATAAGCCTGTGTATAGAGTTAATGAATGCATGATGAGTAATAAGGGATAATGTACAGCGAGTGGGTCATTATTGCAAAACAAACCCCTGCATCACTCTGTTATCCCGCTTATCACAGAGCTACTTACTGAAGAAATCAATAATGTGACACAAAATATTGATCCAAGAATGATTTTGATGCTTTTCTCCAGATCGCAGAATCAGAGTATTTGACAAAGCTGTGTGATGCCATAATATAACATAGCAGAATTTAGCTGAAAAATACAGAAAAAAGGCCTTATATTTACTTATAACAACATTGTTGTTTGTTATAGTGTCATTTTAAGTGTGTATTGACGACATATAAATTCTAAATAGGGGAGGTAAAATAAAATTACAGAGTAAATTTGACTGTGATGCACTAAAATGCTGGATATACTGTCTCAGAGTGTTAAATATTTTTGTTGCCTGAAAACAAATGGACCCAGAATTAGTTTCTGCTTCAGCTGCGCTGGTTTCCTCCCACAGTCAGGTGGACTGGAGACTCTAAATTGCCCCGAGGTATGAATGAGCATCTGAGCTGTATGTCTGAAAGCTTCCCAGTGCATGCTGGGATAGTCTGCTGCCCCCTGCAACCCTGAGAAGAAATTAGTGGGCGGAGAATATAAATGACTAAAAACGGGAACATATTGTATTTCACTTCATTTCCACTGATCAGTACGTCCCTCATGTTGCTAATCATCACTGGTGGTGATGCTGTGTGTGTTGTGTCTGATGGATTGCGCTCTGCTAATGTATTTCTAGACGTCTTGTGCGTTTTGGCAAAGTGTATACACATATTTTTCAAACACAATGAGCAAGCTACAGTCCAGTTAATGGATAGGGCTCCTGTCACTGCCAAAGACACAACTCTTCATTGATGTCTTCTTCCATTACATGTCTGTCCCGTGCTTTCTTACATTTTGCGGTAGTGATTGGAATTGACAAGGACAGTGCAGCTGAGATGACTGTGCTGAGCATGTCCTTGTTCTGCATTGTGCCTTGATTTTTGTAAGCCAATTAGCTAGATTAGAAAGCATAATCAATACAACCTCTTTGTGCAACCCCACTGCTGTCCTCTCATTAGACAAACAACCTCTGCCTGCCTAAACAACGTGGATTAACCACACTTCTTGGCTCTCATAGGATATCTCCTTCTCTCAAGGCCCACTGTGTTTTTAGGCATCTGTGGAACAGAGTTAAAAAGTGTGTCCTATAGCAACTAAACATCCCATTCTGAGCTCTACAGTGACATTTTATATGTGACAGAGAATCACTGCTTCCACTTCTGTTGGATATTGTGTCTTTTTAAAGCACCGGTCGATTTTCAACGTGTCTTTTCATGGATCAGCAGCTCCAGGTCGTCAATAGATTTTGTTGGAATCTCCACTGCGTGTCCAACAACCCAAAAGGATATTGCTGTTTTTTTTTCTTTTTTCTCCTGAACAGTAATTTAAGCCTGGTGTGCTCTGTAAAAAATCACTCAACCATGTCGTAATAGTTCTGAAAACGGTCAATAGAGTCTTGACCTTCTGTAAATGCGAGCAGCAAGTTGATGAAAATGCCTCTCTTTTTTTGGTAGGTAGATTTTGGCACAGGAGCACAAGCTAAATACTGTCAGTGCATTGCAAAACTCTCCATCTTACATTAAGTCTGCTGTTGGGGTTTAAAAGCAGAGCAGGTCGTTATTTGTTTAAATCAAGTGAAACAAAGACAGCTGGGTGAGATCATGTCTGTCTCCAGTCTTTTTCTTAATGTATCACATGAATAAGTATGACATTTATCTATGTAATATCAATGAATATTATTTACTCAAGTAGGGGAGACTGGGGACGGTTGCAACATTTGCATTATTCTTGGTTACTCAGCAACTATTTGGACTAGACCAACCAAAT